CGCCTGCCGCCGAGGTCCAGGCCCCTCCAAAAACCTCCAATTCCGTCCCGATCGAACTTCTTGACCGCCGCACCGCACCCCGACCACCACCGCCGAAGGGGGAAAACAACACCCAGTCACCCCCTTTCGGACGCACTCATACCGCAGCCATGGCCGACGTCGACTCCATCGTCAAGGGCGCTCCGCCTCCGGGCAAAGAATCCAAGTCTCCCGTCGGCACCACCGGCGTACAACCAGACTCTGGCAAGCCGACCGACCCGCTGAGCCATACCCCGAGCTCTCCATCCATGGTATACCTGAACCTCCTGATCCTCGAAGCCTCCCTTCGCGCGCAATATCTCGAGCTGCGCGCCCGCCGCCGCCACCACACATTCTTCTTCACCCTGCTCACCGCCTGGGTATGCGGCTTCGGCTACGCCCTCTTCTTTGCCCCGCGCGAGGACGGCCGCGGCGTCGGCGGCTCCGTTTACTGGGGCGTCGAGACTTTTGAGAAGATCTGCTTCATGGGAGGCGTCATGACCGCCATCCTCGTCTGGGCTACCGGCATATGGGAGCGCGGCATCCGCTGGCCGCGACGCTGGTTCCCCATCTCAAACCGCGGCCTGCGCGGCTTCAACTGCAAGCTCGTCATCATTCGCAGACCGTGGTGGGCCGAGATGGGCTCGACCATTGGCTTCTTCCTAACCTACGGTCTCTTCTCCCACACCGCGAGCTCATCTTACCGCTATGTCGAACCGTCCATCCTGCGCGAAGTCGAGAAGGAGCTCAGCCTCAACCCCGATAACCATCCCACGCTACCCATCCTGGTCGAGGACGAAGAGAAGGGTGGCCACGAGGAGGATCTCGCCCCAGGGGGCGACTACGTCAAGCTTCTCATGCTCGCGAAACCATTTACGCCGACATTTAGAGAAAACTGGGAAATCTACCGCACAGAGTACTGGGAAAAGGAAAACGAGCGCCGCGCCCTCATCCAGAAGAAGCTCGCCGCACGCGATCGCCAGGTAGCCAAGCAGCGCTGGGGCATCTTCTGGTGGCTCCCTTGGCACCGCGTCGACCGCGCCAACACCCTCCGCCCCGGCTCCCCGTCCCGCCACGGCAGCGAAAAGACGACGATTCACCCCCGCGCCGCAGCCATCGAGCGCGAGCACCGACGCCGGAGTAGCACCACCAGCGCGCACCGCCGCAGCTCGACGAGCTCCTCGCGCAGCCTCACGCCCTCCGTTGCGACCATGCCGGGAGACGATGGAGACGGCACTGTCAGCAGGAAAGCCAGCACGGGTTCCAACGCATCCGACAAGAGGCGGAAGAAGCTCGGGTCCATGTCCAAGGCGAAGCGCCCCAACATCGAATCGAGGTCTGTCACGCCCGATATACCGTCGCCGCTGGCCCGGGAGAGCAGCGTCACACGTACAGATAGCGGGTCCGGGGCCGAGAGTGTGGCGGAGAGGTCGCTGCGGCATTCATCATCCAAGGCTAGCATCAGCTCTTCTGCAAACTCTGTGCGGGAGAAGCACCGCAAAGCGAGCGAGGCATGAATTTTGCTGGCATATGGGTGTAATGTTACCTTATGATTCAAAGAGGAAATAGCGAAGAGATGAGAAATGAATACGGCTCATGCACATTGATGCGTCGTTTGGTTTTTATGTGAAGTGCCCACTGATGCACGCTGAGAAATTCCCGTGTGGCTTAGAAGACCATACGAATGACCAGCAAGCTAACTACCTCGTCAGCTTGGCCACGATCCAAATTATTGGGCTAAAAGTCCCGGGCTTATGTTTCTTGACATGCCTCCAGCCAACTATCGTAACCCAAGACTTAACAGCCAATCCAATATCAACGTACCTAAGGTCGCATTCCACCCCCCTCCTCAAACGTCACCCTGCGCACAACATCATTGCGTGACCACCCACTCGGGGATCCATGATGCTCCTCACAGGTTCCATTGCAAAAACAACGACATAAAAGTATTGTTACACAACCGCGTATCTCTTCGACCAGTGAAGAGTAAGTAAGAACATGCGTGGTGAGATAAGATGATGCAGCCAATACTGTTCAGCTTATTGGTGATGTCGCTGGTCATTGGACAGCCTGATGCCTGTTTCCGCACATCTTGCTATTCAGGAATCGACACTCACACCAAATGCAAACGTGAAGACGGCCAATTGGTTCCGTTGCGTCTCAGAACAATGGCCATGGAGCAGATGATAAACGCCACAGTCGTCCCTTCAGCTCTATATCATTCGAGGTAGTGCCACCTTTGGCCAGAAAATGCGGGCCTTCTCATCTTGTTTCTAATGCATCTATGTATGTAAGTCTTGCGATGCGACTTTAAGAGTAACTTTTGGCGTCCCCGTATTTATTGATGCAGTACAATTAGAGCCAGTGTTGGTCGCTGTCTATTGCTCCTACAACATGTCCGAAGATTCCGAAATCTATCTTTGTCGAGGCCTGGAGCCTCTAAATACCACATCAGACCCTGACATCAGTGGGATAGGGGCAAGTCAAGAATAAGTTATGCGAGATGTTGCTAACACGACCCAGGTGATGATCAGTTTCCTCGGCACAGGCTGCTTAATGGTGGTGATCTTGCTTTTTCACTACATCTTGGTCTACGATCCCGAGCTGGACCCCCTTCGAAAGAAAGACGATCCTGGGATGTGGGCTAAACGACCTAATGCTATCGACGTGGCTATCTTGAAGCGTCTGAGAAAATCCCTCGAGCGCCTGATTTGTTTCTGCATGGCCGTCAAATATCCGGTTAGCGGACGTCCGGTTCGACGACATTCGAATGGCAAATGCTCAGTTCGTGAACGTTTGGTTCGTCAGCTACCTTGGCTGAAGGATAGTCGAGAAGCTACAAGAATCCAAGCTTCATTCAATCGGGTGAGCCAATGTCTCATCATTATGATGTCCGATCGTTAACCCTGGCAGTGTTTATTGGCCATGAGCGATGTTCAAATTGCGACAGGCTTCGCAGTGTTAGTTAGTGCGTATCATGGTCTTAGCAATGACCTATCAGGGAAGCATTGGCTGATGATTACATACACTGCGTGAGTCGTCAATTCATCCTCCACTTGTTCTTCCACCAGGCTGAGCATCTTCACAAGCTGGTTTTCCTCTGTGACGCACCTTGCTGCATTGTCTCATCTCAGAAATTACTACGTCAACCACCGGTTGCAGTGCGCATTCAGACTTCTTCCTATGTTTGCCATCGTTCTCATGCTTCTCGGAGCCATGATAATTGGTACAACAATCAAAAGATACGAGGAAAATCAAGAGTTATGGAAAAAGAATTATGCAATTTGCTTTTGGGACGGGATTGACGAGCCTTCTTCTTCCATGAATTTGACCATTGCGGTGGTCCAGACAGTCTTCTCCGGTTCACTGGTATTCTTTGGGTTCTTGTACAGAGCCGTGAGACTATTTCCTAGCGCGATGGCCTCGATAGCCAATATTCGACAAAAGCTTCGAGGAAAAGTCGTAAAGTTCATTGCCGCTTGGACAATGAGAGACCAAACATCGCCACGAGCAGGCCTATGGAAGGTGTTCATCGCCCAACACCTGGTAGTCATATGGATTTTCGGTCGCTGTGTCCAAGAACTCTTTGGTTCAATTCTCGCCGAAGTACGCAAGTTTCTCATTGCCTCATTATAATGATTTGGCTTAACATCATCCATCCATAGATCTTTTGGCTCGCAGCAACATCTTGCTGGGGCTTGAGCCAGCTTCTTATTATCCGCGGCTACAATTCCACCATCCAGGATCTAAGCGATGACAATAATTGGGGTTTCGGACAGGTCGCAGCTTTTGTGCTCTTCCTCATCCCTATTTGGCCTCTAGTAGAACACTTCTATGCGGCGTCAAGTAAGTACCACCGTTCCCCTCATTTTGGCTGGTTGTCTTGGTTCCAGGCTATTCCAGAAATCTGACGGATATCGTGACGCGCAAAAAATAACTTCCTGAGATCATAGGGACTAAGCGTCTTGTCAAAGTCCGACGTCGTTCAATACCAGAGGTTGGTCCGATGCAAAGCATACACGCGATTGGTCTCAAAGATCAAGGGCCCGCGGCTACTGTAGCCGGGACGTTTGAAAATCTGCCGCGCGAAGCCAGAATTGTTGCAGACCTCAAATATTGTTGGAAGTCCTTTTCTGTGAATCTCATAGTCGTTTTCATTGCTACGTGTAATCTTTATTTCACAATTCAGATGGTTGTTTTTCTGCATCTTCTCAAGTCGTCAGAACAGGCTGTGTGGTATGCGGCTGATTTCGGCTCGGTTTACATCTTCTATCAGCCTGTGTTTTCAGGTATTCTGCTGCTGATAGGACTGGAAATCGAAAAGAAAATCAAGGAGTTGAAGTCTCGATCAAGAGTTTTCCACGTTCTGTATGTGGCATTTTACTCTTTTCTCTTTGCGTCATTCTTCATTTTCGCAACATGCATCTGGCAATATGGAATAGGTCACACGTTCTATTTCTTTTACGAGTTAATTAGTTTTTCCTCGGTCTTTTTATACATGTTTCTTGGGCTCTATCTCATATACGTCGCAACATTTTCATTCTCACGATGTGTCATCACCTCAATGTAGTCTCCATTTACTGGAGATCATTATTTAGAAACAACACACGACGAAAATGCTTAATAATTCATCTGATTTCATCAATCGGTCCCCATTATTCATGTTGTGAACTTAACTCTGAACCATGATTATATCAGTCTCTGCTCTGGGAGGCGGATATGGCCGTTTTTCTGCGGCCAATAGTAGCTGGAGTCTGGAGTTGTCACCACCGGCCAATTAGGTTCACATACGAACAAGCCCGGAGAATCATTTTCGCTTGAATGCGTTGGCTCACGTGCGGGGGATAGGCTTCTCGAAATGCCTCAAATGGACATCTCACTCCGTGCTTGGCACTACCGTTGCGGATTGGAGGCATGATAGCCGATGTTCACAACACCCTTTGAAATTCGTCTGATAATTGTTCTTCATCTTGAATGGAGCCATGGAGGTGGCTGCCAGCGTGGTCGGCTTACTCTCCTTCACTAGCCAGATCCTCAGTGGACTGGTGAAATTGAGCGAATTCATCCAAGAACATAAAGAATCAGATAGTCGAACAAGAAGTGCGATTAGAGAGACGGAACATCTGATATCGACGATCACGGAGCTGAAGAGTCTTCTCCAGAGTTTGAGAGACAGCAGTTTTGCCGGGAATAGCTGGATGTTGGACTCACAGACTGCTACTCTTCAGACTCATCTAGAGAACTGTGGCAAGGATCTTGACGAATGGGTAGCCAACCAAAGCTCGAATGGAGGATCTTCCAAACGACAGAGACTCGGCGCTATTATGAGCAATGGGCGAATCCGGGCAGTCCGAGACTTGGAGTTGAAGCTTGCGTCCCATAGAGCTCAAATAAACCTGGGCATCGGGGCTTTGAACGTGTTGGTGTTCTCCTTGGAATTCTTCGGGTTCTCTGTCAGCTGATAGCTTATAGATCAGTATCCCATCTCGGACTAGAGAAACTGGACCGAATTCAGCTCGATGTTCAAGGGCTGACGGAGTGCAACTTAAGATTCAACGCCGAAACCGAGGAGCGTGCAAGTAATGCCATCGCGGAGTCAACCAACCGACACCATGCCTTAATTGGACATATCTCAATGACTTCAGAAGACCAGAAGAGACATACTGCCATGATGCAAGAAGAGACGCTCAATCAGATATCGCGCATGAGCGACAACATTTCCAGCATCGCCAGTGTTGCCAGTTCTCTCCAGCAACTGATCAGATCATCATCGCTGCAGAGGAGCACCAGCGGGTCTGAATATTCCGCAAACCAGCTTACCTCGGATCTCCCAAAATCTCTCAGTGGGAAAAGAAAACGGCGATTCTCACAAATGGAAGAGGAGACGAGACCATGCTTCAGGTTGCCTGAGACGTTAGTCAAGGGGACGTGGTCATGTGGAGCGCTAGTCGGAATCGACCAAGCCTTTGAGAGAGTTTATAAGCAAATATCGGTCCGCTGCCTATTTTGCGACAAGCCGTTCCACAAAAATGATTTTCTTGCGCGGGCAAGACATCTCATCGGCAGTCACAAATTCTCGGCATGTGATCAAAGCATTGTGTACACTACTCCTGAGGCTTTGAAGGATCATCTGGAATCCGATCACTCAGCTTCGAGAGAAACGTTGAATGCCGGAAACTTTAATCTCACTTTGTTCTGTGAGAACACACGAATTCCCACGGATAACCGACACATGATGCTGGATGGAATGCCGCAGAGCGTAGACATTCCAACGACACATGTCCTTTTGAATTCGCAGCTCTCATCTCTTCTGTCCAGAACACCTTACGTTGAAGATGATAGCTCAAAATCCGGAAATTGTTCAGTCAGCTCGAAGGCGATGAACCGAGCTATGGAAGCACTGGCGAAAGATGTGTTTTCACTTCATGTATCTTCGCCAGAGTTGCCGGGGATCTTGTATCAAGCCGCAAATCTCGAGCAGGAGCTGATCATCCAGTCTAACCGCCCCTTTCAAAAAAGATGGGCTCCGATACCAGATTGCTTGATGAGGGCGTCTTCTCCAAGCCAGCTTCACGCGATGCTCGACCGAGACACAAAGGAAGTTCTGAGATCATCGCTTCATCACCTACTTTGGCCAACTAACCCTGGCTTTGCCATGTTCCGACGGTCTCAGATTTGTACTGAATGCGTGAGGGAGAAAAAAAACAACCGTAGTGACTGCGGTACCAACGTGTCGATTCTATGCAGGAGACACCACGAAGAGGTACTGGGGAGTGTCTATCCTCGAAGCACTTGGAAGTGGTTTTCACTAGACCACACGCTCAAGGTCTCTGCTCTCTTCGTCAAATTCAAAAAATGGACGACTCCTAGAGAGCGTATAGACTTGTGGATGCTTGATGTTCTACATAAGTCAGATCATCTGGTAGCCATGTTGCGGTGTGGAGCCTTTTCAGGCAGCTTGGCAGGTTCATCGGCATTCCTGGATGGGGAGCCGAACAAGAGTTTGACAAAGAACGATCCGAACTTCTGGGGCAATCAGTGGACGCATGACTTGCTGGCTGCGTTCGATAGAAACATACGCCCGTTCCATTTCGGCCCAGTAGGGGAGCAGTCAGAAGGCGCGGTTGACAGTCGCGAAGGGAACAACGAGTTCTGTGTTCCTTTCCGACTGAAGCTTAGTGGACCACTTCACAGCAGCATGCAAGTTTCATAACAATTCGGTAATCGCGATTTTAGAAGGAACTTCAATGCATGCCTCCCGCATATGCGACAATATGCCTGAATCTATTGTTTCCATGCACGCTCGCCCGAATTCGACAGAGTTGAATGCCTGAATCTGCTGGTAGCGAGCGCCTACGCCTCTCCTTTCACCACCAGCACCCTCTCAGGATAAACTTGTTTACGGGGTCCGACAGGCTGACAATGTGGCGCAGCCGACAAACACTGGTAGCCATTCGTTCTGCCTTGAGGCAGTATTGCAGCAAATTGGCCAATGAAACCTACCAAAAGTCATGCAGTCTGCACCTGGAGTTTTCAATTGTAATTTGTGCCTGATAACCTGAACACAAGAAGCCCTGTATATGACCGATAGATTGAAACCACCCACTGCCTTCTTCCCTCCCTTCCCTTTCTCAGTATACTTATCACCGGCACAACGATCTTCCAACAACCTCACACGGCAACTATGGAAGTCGTTGGGGCGGTATCCGGCGTGGCTGGTCTTCTGTCCCTTGGAGGACAGGTATTTTCCGGCGCCATAAAGCTAATTGAGGCCATCGAGGACATGAAAGACCGAGATGATCAAGCAAGGCACCTTAAAGAAGAAGTATCGGACCTGGCTTCAGTTTCCATTCGGCTCAGTTTGAATGTGCAAAGCCTACGAGCAGATTCAGACTTTATAGAGTCTGACTTCAAGATGTTGGAGGAAAATATCCAGTCGCATCTCATTGACTGCGATGTCGACCTGCGCAGATGGGGGACGATTTTGAAGAAGCACTATTCAACCCCTCTTACAAGGATGCAGAAATTATCTGAGATGTTTCGCAAAGACGATCGTCGGGAACTACGTGCAATAAATCGACTCCTCGGAGAGTGGCGGAGCAAGCTCAGCCTCGACGTCAACGAACTCAACAGGTGAGTGAGACTAAGATTTTCCCGCAACATTACTGACTCTGTTTTAGTCTGTTCTCTTCTAGTGGATGGCGAAAGCTTGACAAAGCCCATGAAACGATGCTGAACTCACATTACGAGTTGACGGAAATACACAAGGCGATGCTCGCAACAGCAAATATGGATTGGAAAACCAGTTTCCGGAAGCTGAGTGAACACTTTCTGCGCTTCGAAGACGATCGAATTGAGAGGGAAAATGCGTTTTACGCGAAAATTTCGACGGAAGTCATGGAGATAAAGAGTTACGTGTCGAGTATTGATACCTCTCTGCGTAGCTCTTTGCGGAAAGGCTCCATATGGACACGTTTTGTGAGGTCTGACATTAAGAGTGATTCTTACGACGGAAGCACTTTTAGAGAACAGGATCAATCAGCCAGCCAAAACACGTTTGATACCAAGAGTGTTTCTCACTACGGAGGCACTTTCAAAGAAAAAGATCAATCAGCCAGTCGCCAGCCGAAAGGCGTTAAGGTGCTGAGAGCCGATGGTATAAGCAAAAGCGCGATATGGTCGTGCGGAGAGGCTCTCGGAATTTACGACTACTTCGTTGAAACTGAGACCAGGGACAAGATTTCATGCCTGCTGTGCATGGAAGAAATCGGTACAGACGCTGGATACGAGCAGGCTAGACATCTTGTTGAGTCTCATCAGTTCAACGAATGTGACCCAGGTCACTACTTTACGTCCAAGAGACACCTCAAAGCGCATTTGCAATCGCAACATGCAGCCGACCCGGATGCTTTAGAGCATTACCGCGCCAAACACGATTTTGGTGGCTTCGAAAGGAGATGGAGTCACTGTGACCCTCGAATTTACGATCTTTCGGGACGATCGCACATGCCAGAGGACCTGCAGTCAACCAACACTACTGCGTTGAGAAGCGAGATGAGTTTCTGGTTAGCGACAATTAAGTCCTGCTTAGTTCTCCAAGATCATCAAAAGTTTTCTCTGAAGGACGAAGCGACTGCCTCAGCTGCAATGTACCGGGGGATGAACAGCGCTCTGACCGAATTATCGGTCTTAGTATTTACAGAAATCACACCGGACCACAAGTGCATCAGTGCGCTTTTACAGGCCAGTAGAGCGGAAGAGGAATTAATCATTTACTACGACGATGTATTCCCCCAACGTTGGGCGCCGCTGCCTGGACGACTGATCGAGAACCGGATGTCGTATGACTATTGGGGCAAAAGGATCCAGCCAAGAAGCTCCAAGCCCTTGGAAGCAAGTGAGGTTGGCTCATATTTCTCGAGAATATCGAAGCAACTCATACCGGATGTCATAGATTCATGGATGTTCGATTGCCTGCAGCGTTCCGACTACCTCCTAGCCTTCTTGCGATGCACCGGCTTTGGTAATCCTTCATGCAGTGTTGATCGTCCCCTTACGGCCGACGATGGAGAGAAACTGAAGAAAAGCGACGTCCCTCTCAACACGATGGCACTGGTTGGTAAATGGAATGTTGAATGGGTATCTGGACTGGTCGCTAGTTTTGATTATGGAAATGAGGACCTTGTTTCAATACCTAATAAGAAATAGAGGCTTAAAAGTTGGTAGGGGTCGTGTCAGAGAGTGCGTGCTAGGGGGTTAAGCTTTGGCTGGCTTCGAACAGGTAGCAACGATGATAATTGAACATCGCATACTGTATAAATTATAGCCCCATGCCTCGTATGTATTAACGATTCAGATGAGTAGTGACTTGATGGCCAATTAGTTGGTCTCACTGAGCCACTCCTCCAACCTCCCTGTCCAAGGCCAGTCAATCGTCCGCGTCCCCTGAGCGTCAAAGGTGAAGTTCCCATAGAAATCACCAACTCCCACCCCCTTGAGGTTAGGAATCTCCTCTTGAACTATCGATCCCGCACGCTCTGTCGCATCAATATCGTCCAGTCGAACCTGACGCCAGAGCCGAGCACCACCATCGCCGTCGTATGCGTTACCACACCACGGACCGCCATCAAAGTCGAGGTGCAGGTTAGCTGAATATGGAAGGTGGAGCTTCTTTAGCTTGTGAAGCGAAGCAAAAGTCTTTGTCATGTTCTGTTAAGAAACTGTCAGTAGATTCCAGTGGGCCTGTGGAAGACTTGGAACTCACTCGGAGTGCCTCCCCTGGGGGAGCGAGGTGCCCGTGTGTCAAAGGACCGACCCAGAGCTCCTCGAGATTCGGAAGTACTTTGGGAATGACTACCAGATATTAGCGTTACCCAGGCTTGAAAGTATTGTCCAGACATGTGTAGAGCAACTTACGTTCCGTCATCTCAACCTGTTTGTCCCACCGAATATCACCTAAATTCAGGCTCTTCAACTCCCTCAACTTATCCAAGCTCTCGAGCCACACCAGTGGAAACTCTCCCCAGTCCTCAGGTTCCGAAAAATGCGAGCTATCACTTGTGGCCTCCAGCATCCTCAACCGAGGCGTCGCTTCCCGAATCCAAGACGCATACATATTCGCCCTGAGCTCCTCAACAGACCTCAACTCGACACCCTGCCTGTGAAACTCGTCACGGAAAGCTTGGTTCTCTTCCCAGCCCCTAATCGTCCAGTCAAGCTTCTTCAGTCCCTTCATCTCACCCATGACCTCCGCAAACAGCCCCGGAAGGTCATCAGGCGGTAGAACAGACTCGGCTTTGTGCGAGTAAACATCGACTTTCAACTCTCGCACCTCCTCCAAAGCCCTGGGGCAGTTCTTCATCTCCAGAAAGCGGTTTCGGGCGTTGGGCCAGCCGTATCGATCCACCCCGACGCGGTTGTTGTCGATCTCGAGGCTGTGGAAGAGGTCTCGGGGGATGTCGAGGCCGGTGAGGTGCCAATCGTGGCCGCATTCTGGGTCGTGGTTGCTCGAGGCTATGAGGTCCTTCAGAGTCGTGCAGAATACGGCGTGTGGGTCGTCGAGGTTTGCGAGTTCGCCGGCGTGGGCTGTGAGCCAGGGGTGTCTGGTGTCGAGGATGAACTGCGGGATCTTTGCTTTGGAGGCCGAGTTGGCTTTGCGCCAGGAGGGGAGAAGGGGGGACTGCCATGCTGCTGCGAGGCCCTGGAAGAGGAGGGCGCAGGATAATATTAGGAAGAGGGTTGATTTGGTTCTCAATTTCATGATTTCAGGACGGACTTGGGTTGTCGATGCTCCTGCGGTCTGCCCTGCTGGCGAAGGAGTGAAGTATATTTAAGCATGTTTGCGGTGTGATGAACGAGACGACTGAAAATGTGTCCCTAGCCTGGAACAAACTCGTTTTGATGTTGTTCACTGGAACAGTCGTGTTCAAATTGACGACTGGCCGTTGGACAAGAAGGTGGAGGATTTTTGGGAGTCATCCCATCGCGCGACGATTGCTGTGCCGCGGCACGGGCGCGGGGCTCGACGCCCGACATCCACACCAACGCCAGGCATAGAGGACAGATCTCATTACCACGATGAGTCAAAAGTCAAGCATCGAAACATCAAGAAGCATCGGGACAAGTTTTGGGAATCAAAGAACATTAATGCAATGGATATCGTGCTCTCACATACAACCATCAGGCACAGAGGCCACCTTTGCCCCGACCTGTACCCATGTTCCCCATTACCACCCCCCATCCCAAAACATCCTTCATTTCTAACATTTGCAATTTCAAACTCAATATTTCCTTCCTAGACAAACAATGATTTGCCTTGGTATATGTTCCATAAAATTCCTGAAAGTCGTGCTGGCCTTCCGGGCCATGTGCGTCGTAAGGAGTGTCGGGGGGGTATCATAGCCATTCAAACCGTCCATTAAATATGCAGCAAACCCTTCAATGTATTTACCCGCCCATAAAGCATGCTGAATTATTCATTATCGTCTAAGGAGTGTCGTGAAATTCGTCGATGTATCATATTCGCCAATGTCTCGTTCGTGAATACGCCATAAGATCGGCTCAATGGCCGAGAGGGAGTGTCATGAATGATGAAGCAAAATAACTTTTCCCGCCTGGATGTATGAATCCTTGAAGAATTTTAATCAAAATATGTGATCAGAAGGAGTGGATGGTAAGATTAGATGAGGAGGAGAGCCACGATCGGTGCCAAGATGGCGAAGAAGGTGGAGGTCGCAGGCTTGACGGCCGCGGCGGTGACCGCGGCAGTTGGGCCGGTTGATGTGGAGCTCGGCTCGGTGACAGTGGATGAGGCACTCGGGGCAGAAGATGCAGCTCCGCTGGTTTCGGAAGGGGCAGCGGTGCCAGATTCCGAGGGGCTTGATGCTGACGGGCTGGAGCCGGCTCCGGTTGTCGCGGTTCCGGTGGACTCCGCGGCAGACGAAGCAGAAGAGGCCGTGGAAGCTGAAGCCGAGGCAGTTGCCGACGCACTTCCGGAAGCAGTTGCGCTGGCAGTAGCAGTGGAGGTTGCGCTTGCCTCGGTGGACTCTGCGGTAGACTCAGCCGACGATGCACTCTCAGAGGTCGAAGCTGTTGCGGTTGTTGCGGTTGTTGCGGTTGAAGTTGTGGCTGATGGCGTGGTGGATGCGGCCGACGACGAAGACTCAGGCGCGGAGGCAGTCGCAGAGGCGGACGAGCTCTCAGGGGTACTCGAGGACGCCGCTGTGACGGAAGTGCTCGTGGCGGAGGAAGTTGTCTCAGCCACTGACGAAGGACTGGTGAACGACGAGGGCGTGGGCGTAGGAGTGGACGCGGGAGCGGTAGTGCTTTGAACAGACGTGCTCGATGAGGATTCAGTGATGGGCTCAGGAGTCATGCTGCTCGCCTGGCTTATCTGAGATTCAGTGGTGAGGGTCGCGGTTGCTGTCCCTACTGGAAGTGCAGCACTGGTGGTTCCTGTGACTGGTGCCTGGCCATCGCAGTAGTCGTTAAATTGCTGGAACTTAGGGGCTAGGTATAATTGCTGAGTCAACTTGACATTTTCGGAGTTCAAGTCGATACATTCACCGCAAATCGCGTAACTCTCTTTGAACGCAGAGCCAGTTGCGCACAGGGCTGATGACTTTCCAACTTCCTGTGCTTCAGCGTAGGCATCGTTGCAAGGGGAGAAACAGACTGCAGGAGCAACTGAGTCATCGCGCTTGCGGAGAACAGCACGACGCTCGTACGTCTTTCCTGGCTTATGGTGATACTCATAGTCGCTCTTTGCAGTGCTTGTAGGAACAGATGCGACAGTAGCGGTGGCGGTTGTTGAAGCCGGGGGGAAATGCGTCAGCGAAGTTTGCGAGGCCCAGTTGCCCGTCGTGATGGTAGTCGTCTTGTACTTTCCATGTTTCTTGTAGGACGTCGTAATGACCTCAAACTCAAAGACATCATACGAGAGACCGAAAGCCTCCGGGTTGAGGTTGAAGTAGCCTTCATTTGGAGGGATGTAACCAGTCTCATTGTTCTTCCAGTCCAAGTCGGACCTCTTGAACTCCGGTGCCTCCACACAGTACTGGGGCTCACAGACATACTCATCGACTGGAGAGTCTGCCCAAAGGTCGCAGCCACCTGGCTTGGGGGGATTGCAGACATAACCAGGTGCACAGCCCCAGGTGCGATCTGACTTGGGGTTGAATGCAGCCAAACGGCCGGGCGCTTCAGTCGGAACAGGACACGCCTGGATGTCCGTGTAGGTCACCGTCGTCGTCGTGGGAGGAAGAGTGAGAGTGACTGGAGGCACAGTCACAGTCGAAGTCACCACCGACGTCGGGCCAGGAATCACGCTGGTGAAGGTCGTTCCATCCTCGGTAATCGTGACAGTGGAGGCTGGGGCAGTCTCGGTCAGAGTGGTAATTACGGTCGTACCAGGGAGAGTGGTTGTCTCAGGCGGGATAGTGATAGTCTCGAGGTCCGTTGTAGTGAGAGTCAAGGTAGTGCCCGGAAGGGTGATTGTAGTCAGCTCGCCAGCAATGGTTGAGATGATTGTTGAGCCAGGCAGAGTGATTGTCTCAGGGGGAGAAGTGATGGTGGCACCAGGTCCAGTGACCGTTGCGGTAGCGAAGATCGACGTGGGAACTGTCACGGTCGACGCCGGCAAGGTGATCGTGGTGAGAGAGCCGGAGATGGACGTTGTCACCGTAACTGGGGGTATGGTGATGGTCGAAGCAGGAAGCGTGACAGTTTCGCCAGGGCCTGTAACTGTTGCGGTCGTGGGCACGATGATGGTTGATGCCGGCAAAGTGATTGTCGTGAGGGAGCCCGAGATCGTGGTTGTCACAGTGACCGGCGGCAAAGTGATTGTGTCTGGCGGAGAGGTGACCGTTGCTGTTGCCGTGCGGGTGTTAGTTCGCGTGATGTACGAAACGACTGGAACCTTAGAGATGATGGTGGTAACGTAAGTTTCCACGACAGTAGTGTAAGAAGTCTCCCGGATAGTGCGGTCATTCGTGACAGTAACAGGAACAGTGACAGGGTAGCTGGTTGAGACTGTGATGGTGTCGTAGAAAGTCTTCGACACGTAGATGGTGGTTGAATCGGTGTATCGCTCAGTCTGTCGGTCTGTCACAGTGGCAGTCGCAGTCGCGGTCTGGGTCTGGATTTCGGTGTAAGACGCCGTGATGGTGATTGGCTTCGTGTAAGTCGTCTTGCTAATCCAGGTAGACACACTCCAAGCTGTCGTCGTCGTAGTGTGGTCCAGTGTGATAGTGTAGGGGACGCTTGTTGTGTATACATATGTCGAGACAATAGTTGTCGGGGTTGTGAAAGTTGTGACAGACGTCACTGTAGCGGTGCGAGTAACGGGCTTCGTGATAGTGGCCGTGTTGGTCACTTCTTTGGTCTTGTCCTTAGTTACAGTCTGGTAGTCGGTGACTTCCTTGGTTTTATCCTTGGTGACTGTCTCGTAGTCCGTGATCTTTTGAGTCTGAGTCTTGGTGAAGTAGTAGTTGCTGGTCAAGACCTCCGTCGTCGTGAAAGTGGTTGTGATGTACTGAGTGACACTCGACACCACAGTCACTGGAATCTCGGTTGTCACAATATGTTTGGTGGTGAAGGTTGAGACCGAAGTGTAAACCTTGGTAGCGGTCACTTCCTGAGTCTGGGTGACAACTTGGGTGCGATCCTTGGTCTCCGTGTACTTTTGAGTTTCAACTTCCGTTTGGATAACCGTTGTGGGGTACTTCTGAGTAACCTCGATAGTAGTTGGCACTGGAACAGTCGTATATTCGGTGATGTACTCTGTTTTTGTTGTCGAGGTTACCACCGTCTTGGTCTCGCAGATCTCGTGGTTAGTCCGCTTTCTGCCGTACGTGGGGTACCCGGCCGGTTCTGAAGTGGTCGGCTCCGGTACAGGTTTGCAGCTGAGATCAATTAGTACTAAGATCCACTAGTATAGAGTCTTGATCCTGTAATCTGCACATTATGCATCCGATGCCAGCTCGTAGAAGGTTGGGAGCTAAGACAGTGGATGATGGGATTCGGTCGTCTTCCCACTAGCGAATAATGACCCGAACCGTAGATGAACAAGCGTAGAAGATGAGGTTTTCACTCACATGGCAACTGTCGTCGTAACAGGATACGAGGTGACGCTGGTCTTCACTACGGTTGTCGTCTCATAGTCAGTTGTGGTGTAGGACTGGGTGGTGAAGACTGTCTCGGTGCAAGTGGTTCTGTATGTTTGTCAGAAACGTCGCCCTATATTCTCTGGTAGAGGCAGATAGACTCGCGTGGTTGTAAGAGTGGTAGGCTTCTCCGTGGTGACAGTGGTCTCGATCGTCTTCCAAACGGTCTCCGTAGCTGTCTGCGTCTCTTTCACTTTCTCCGTGACAGTCACAGTTTTACCCCAAGGGCACTTGGAGCCCCAATGCTCGCAATCATCGGTGTTGGTGTTGTAGTCCTCAGTCTTCTTCGAATCAGTGGGTGTTGGCTCTGGCTGGGCAGCGTACGACGACGCAGACTCAGCGACCGATTCAGTCTTTGCTGGGACTGAGGACACCACCTCGACAACGGACTCCGGCGTGGGTGAAGGAGTGTATTCAGCAGAGCTTGCCGCATATTCCGCCGGAGACGAGTCGTTTTGTCTGGCATGTATGCCGTCCTGCGCAGCGGCACTGGCGGCCAAGGTCCCGAGGACCAAGAGTGATCTCAACAACATGATGGCCGAGTAGCTGAGGTGAACGAGAGGCTAGTTCCCAAAGGCGCCCACAGTCAATGGTAGTATGCGATGCGACGATCGACTAACGAGTGTGGGAGGGCGGCCTTTGAAGCTGGAAGGCGCGCTCAGAGGGTGCCAGGTGGGAGTTGGGGGCAGGACAAACTCAGGCGAGCTGGGAATGGTACCTGGGGGCTCATATGTATGTACGATGGGATGCAGCGAGGGGAAGGGAGGCTGAGAGCTGAGTTGGCGAGGCAGCCTTACCTGAGCTCAGAAGGAAGAGGGCTCCGTACAATAACAGGAAAAGATTCCCCGCTAGCTTTAGCCAGAGAGAGCAGTCCGTACCCCGTAAGCTAGCTGCGTGGTGTCCGCTCGGCGGGACCTCCGTCCGAGATGGTGTTGACAAAGATGGGTGGCCTATGAGCTGGGAATATAGCAAACCTCTCTCTCCCTCTCTGTCTCTCGCTCGAGTAAATGGGGAGGGCGTTAGCTAATTAAGCCAGCCAGCGAGAGGCCGAGGGCAGGGAATTGAGATGACGAAGGAATCCAGCAACATGGGAGCTAAGCTCTAGACTCCTCGTGTACTGACGTGCCACCACCCTGATGGGGGCGTGCCTCGGACGGCAGTCGGGGTAAATGGAGGCGTGGGCTTCTAACATGATGCTTCACTCGAAGACCATTGGCGAATGCAAGATCGGGACAAGAGCAATGGGGCACAAGAGGCGACAAAGCCGGTGGAAGTGGGTATCGGAGGAGGGGCGTGGCCGTGTGGGAATCCACCAGGACCCTGGCCCGGGGCTTGCGAAGATGACGGCAGGGGTGTTGGCTGGAGATGGCAAGCTACTGCCTTGAAAGGCAAGCAGCGCCCGACTCGAAGATGGATGGGTCTCTGTGACAACGGCACACAGGAACGGCTCCGGAGGTGTGGTCGCCAAGATCAATAAAATGTGATGGCGACGACATGAACACTTGGGTACGCGTCCCGGAGGAGCAGCGCCTCGATACGGCAGTGTTGAAGGCTTGAGATGACAACGGCGAAGTGCGAAGTTACTTGCAGAGTATCAGGCTGGCATCATAGCTGCTCCAAACTCCCACCCAAGAGAATTTACCTAGCTGCGATATGCCGCACGAGGAACCAACGCGGCTTGTGGGTGATCGCCAGGGTTGGGCTGGAACTGTAGCAACTTGGGACCAAGTAGAGGTCCGCAGTGAAAGAGGCGAAACGAAGAAGAGAAAAACGAGAAAATGGATCATCAAATCGTATAGAGTGAGACAGCAGAGACCACGGCGTGGTGGGTGGTGAGCAAGACGACTCGCGACTCGCTCTGGTTCCCGTCCTGAAGCCTGGCCACATGGATGAGGTCGGGCGACGGTGGGGCGGCATCGGCCGGATGTTGTCGTTGTCGTCGTGCCTGGGTTGGGGGCGGGTGGCATTGGCAAGGGCCAAGACCGAAGAGCTTCCTGCACGCCCAGGGGACTTTTGGCGTGGGCCACGGACATGACTGGTCTGCCCTGGTCCCGCTCGCGCAAGACTCGTCCATCACGCTGCAAGCCAGGGTCTACTGCACATGTATGCTTGCGCTGTTGGATCGGCCTAGGTCGGAACGGGCAGAACGAGGTGGATATGATAAGTAACGTAACAAGTAACTCTTCAATGAAGAGGCGTTGGACCGACAAGAATTCTGGGGCCTAGACGTGTCGGGAAAGCAGTAGGGTGGTAGACATGCGGGATGCGAAGCGCCTGCGACGGTTGAGTTCCGGCGTGGGAAACAAGATTGAAGATCATCGACCCAGGGACGCAGACGATATTGCTTCCAGATTGCCAGGCACGCCGGAAAACTTGTTGGTCAAGGTGCCAGAACGTGGCAAAAATCGAATTAACAACAGACACGAACCCGAGCAGTTGTGCGACTGGCATGGCTCGACGGCAGCGTCCGAGTGTCCCTTGCGGAAGATCAATTACCGGGCACAAAGGAAACAGGCTGCCATCGAGTCGTCCAAGATGCTAGTATCCGGTCGATTGCAGCGGGAAGAGGGGCTGTGAGGCAATCCAAGTAGCACAGCATGAGCCCAGAGGTGCCACTTGTGCGCACTGCGAGGCGATTTGAGAGAACAATTGGTGACAGGATTGTGTCTCCGGGAGATTTCGTGTGATGGGGTCGTATTGATGCAATCATCGGCGATGCGGTGCAAGCAGCAAGGAGAATCCGGGGCAAATTGGCCATGCGCCTGGCGATGTTGTGCCGTCTTGCTGTCGTGGACGTAGCCGTGAATCATGACTCGATCTCGACCACTGCTTTGGACATCTTGGAGGCAAGGCTGGTGACAGTGTAAGCATAACTCGGTCTCTGTCATATGCAATGAGGTATTTGTAAGGTCTCAATATTGAACATGGCATGATGCATGGCCGGATTCGTGGCCATTCTGCAAGTGCTGATTGCTCGACCCATTGAATAGAGCCATGACATAGCCGTACATGGAAGTTTCTTCGTGAGATCCTTGTCGTGAATTGGATTCAATTGCAACGAGGGTGGTTGGGATGGTCAGGCTGAGGGAAGGGCGGCCAGGTGGGAAAATGCGTGAAGGAGAAGAAGTCAGCAGAGAAGGATGAGATGGCCAGGAACAGGGGACAAAAACGCACTCACAATAGACGTGAGCTAATCCGAATTAAGCTTAGCATTTCAGCATGGGATTTTCGCTCCTGCCCTATGAGAAGGACCGCTCAGAGCGGGCTTTCTTCTTTTGGCCCTGTTTGCTGATCTAATACTGGGGACGGAAAGAGGGGTAATGGGTGAAAGTGGGTCGCTTCCGTCCGTGCCTGCTCGTCTTCCAACCCGGACTTCCCATTGGTGCAAACGACGATTACCTCATCAAGCTAGACTGGGAAGGGCCTAGCTTCCCGGCCGCCGTTTCTCGCACTCTATTCTCCCGTCCCTTCTTCCCGCCTTCGTCTGTCCATCCACCATCAATTAATGTTTCGCTTCCTCAGCGAGGACCGACTTCGAGGCTGGCCGCCACCTCCGCACCCGATGACCCCATCTAGATGAGAAAGCCATCGGGTCTTTTCCAAGTTTCGCTCGGTCTGTAGCATGATTGCCCGCCTGTGGCAGGCTGGCTGCTATGCTCATCAAACACGATTCATATTGCGGCACCGCCGCCAGAGTCTCTTGGTCGTCTTACGGTTCACCGACTCTTAATATTGCCCAGGATACGTCTTACTCGACCCATCCTACAGGGCTGACACCGTCATCCTACCACACTTTATTTTAGTGAGCTTCTGGCTCTGCCTGTTCCTGACCTAGAAGGCTGGAGACTCGATGCTGGAGCTCGCCCGAGCTCCCTGCTCCCGATCCTGGCCGCAATCCACTGCTCCAACTGTGCTGGTCCCATCCAGGCCTTGCAGCTCTGCTTGGCGACTCGTCTATTGACTGACTTGCAGATAGCCTTCCCTTGTTTCGACCACTGCCACCACACCATCATGTATGCATGCTTATGCCGGGTCCGCTGCGCCCAAGAAGTTCATGAGAGGCACAGGCAGCAGCCATCTGCGTCCCGCCGGCAAAGCAGACTTTTGCTTCCTTCAGGCTCATGACCCCGAACCATGCCACTGCCGTTGGTGCGCTGTCTCGCCTATCGCGCAAGTCTGGGTCGCCTCAAGTCTCGGACTACTTGCCGCGAGGAGTAAAGACGAGCACTGGTGCTGACCAGATGGTGTGCTAGAGAAGTCAAAACTACAGCCAGGCAAGCAACCACGCATCATTGGGGAAATTCCAATTCTTCTCATGCGGCAAACTCATGAGGATACTTTCTGCCCATTTAGCCGACAGGGTAGCATGTTTGTCTGCCACGGCAACCAACTCTTTGTTCTTGATCCCTTGAGTTGGTGCGGTTGGTTCGTCCCAACAAGTGTTGACAGAAGCCAGCTGTGTTTGTGCTTACGGTCGTCCCTGTCGGGGATGCGGTATCGCTGCCGTGTTTCCGCACACTGAGCACTGCCTGCCTGTGCCACACTTGTTGTTACTTCTATGTTGGTGCTGCGCAATTCGTTGCTCTCCTCGCAGTCTACACGAGGCAATTACACAGCGCAAGCAGTGGGAGCGATCGGCAAGACACTTCTCGCCTGGTAAGAGAGACTTCGAACCAGACACAGGATGCCTATTCCAAGGCGAATTGCACTTTTCCTTCCGTAGGATCAAGCTCAGTGGCCATGAAGTTCATTGACTAGCCCACTCGATGGTGAGGCTGAAGTCGCCATGTTTCTGCGATCAGCACCAGAACCAGTCGTTCTGCTCTGGGATGCCAACCATCACCCCTCACAACCCACCAATCATGACGAGAGCTACTTCCACACTCAGGAAATTCGGTACGAGCTTCTTGTCCTCGTGAATGGCCCCATCCGAGAGTCCGCCGAGCCCGACCTGCCTCGTCTAGGGCCCGAAGACTTGCATAAGCACATCGCATCCTCTACTACCCTCCATCTTCTCGGTTGCCTCCTCCAGTCGTGCTTCACCCAGTGGGTCCAGCCTTACACACACACACTGAGTTGAGCAGTCGGACTGACTTTCTTTGTGGCAATAATCTTATCATTGTCTCTGCCGGCTCGTTGGTCCCTCTTGTCGTTTCCCGTCGCCACCGTCCCGATCCGTTCTCTCGGGCATCTGATGAAGGCGACGCTGCGGGGTTCAGTCGATCTCGAACGTGTTCTCGAGCCCTTCGTTTCCATCTCCCGGCCAGTTCTTTTTGAGACTCGGACTATCAATAATCGAAGTAGTTTCTCTGAAGTTTTCTCCCAATCACAGGCACAAGCCGGCCCAGTCAGCCGTAAGAGCCTCTCTGCAAAGCCTGGCCCGTCTTTCTTTACGCGGGGACTCCTAACCGCACTCGAGCCATCATCCGCCGCTCTGCTTACGCTGACCTCCTTCGCTCCGCTTCTCTCTTGCAAGGCTCTTGCCACTTGCTGCTAGTAGCGCGGTGTTATCCCGCCCCAAATAAGCACCTCGAGCAGCCGCCATGCACTGAGACAGCGACGTCCTACGTTAATTCTTGCATTACGCCTCAAACGTCGAGCAACTCAGGCTCAACGCCGTGGAAATGATGGCTTCCACGCGCTCCGTGTTGTTCGCGGCCTTGGTCGGCCTCACGGCTGGTCAGTATGAAGGATGGATGCCCGGACAAATCAGTGCAAGTATGTGCTACTGGGAAGCACCAAGAGGTACGAAGCACCTGCTTCTTTCGATGCAGCAGCATACTGACGACACCAAGCTGCTGTTATTCGCGACACGCTCTGGCTTGATGGCGGAGACTTGGCCTGGACGCAGCAGCTGCCAAATGAGAATCAGGTTTCTTCATTGAGTAAGTCTCGTTGCGCTTCCATCAGGATTGATACCGACTGACCTGCGCAGACAACCCGTTCGGGCTTATGCTTTCGTTCAACTTCAGCAACCCGTTCGATCTGGACACTAACCTCACCAAACTGATTCAAACTACATCAAAGGCGCCCGGTGGATCTGGCCCCGTCGGTAGTTACTCCCCTAACAGGATTGATGGAGCTCTTCTTCACAACGACGCAGAGTTCTACCTGTATGGAGGTAATCTCCAGAGAAGGACAGATGCCTCGGAGGCGCCAGACGATTCCAAGGTCATTCTCTGGCGTCTCCACGATTATGGTCCAGAGAAGGGGCTGTTCAGGAATGGCAGCGGTCAGCAGACCTTTCCCGACGGCGTCTCGCCGTTGGTAACTTACGGAGCAGGAGTCAGCGCTCCATCCGAAAACAAAGCGTGGTACATCGGTGGCATGCGTTCACCTGTCTGGGGCGAGATCTACCGGTCCAGCACCAATAAGTCCAACGTCGCCAACACGACGTCAGACTCTCTCATCACCCTTGACATGTCGACACAGCTATCCGAGACGTTCTCCAACAAGACGTTGGAAGATGTAAAGCCAAGAGCAAACCCATCAGCAGTTTGGGTTCCTGTCGGAAAGCAAGGTATCCTGGTCGTCGTGGGAGGTGTTACATATCCCGAATTTGCGAACAGCGGCCTCGCACAGTCTTCGAATCCAGAACTCAGCGCAAGTTCTACGTCGCTTTTTGGGTTTAACCTTTGTGCTAACAACCGATACAGGCGCAACAAAGTCCCGAGTTCACACAAAAGATTGATATTTACGACATTGCTGCGGACAAATGGTATCAACAAGAGACTACAGGCGGACCTGGCGCCGTCACCCGAGGTTGCGCCGTCCTGGCCACTGCAGCCGATCGCTCCAGCTTCAATTTGTACTACTATGGCGGTTACCCTGGTATCAGCCTAAGTGAGGGCTTCAGCGATGCTGTCTGGGTTTTGTCCATGCCATCGTTCCAGTGGATCAAGCTGAACGATGGCAAGACGCTACATGCCCGCGCCGGTCACCAATGCGTGATGCCCTACCCGGACCAGATGTTGGTCATTGGAGGATACGCGCAAACATCGGGTGCTGGCAACAGACCCTGCGTCCAAAACTTTTTCCATGTCTTCAATGTCTCGAGCGGAGAGTGGCAGGACAGCTACAGTCCCAGCAAGTGGTCCAACTACACCGTTCCGACCGCCGTTCAGAGCAAGATTGGTGGTGACGCCCAGGGCTCGGCAACGGCCACGACACCGGTAGTATCAGGAGGCTGGGCTGATCCGAGTCTCTCAGCTGTCTTCGCCGCCGAGTACACAACAAAAATCAACACATGGTACCCCTACACTGAGGCGAAAGAGACTGACCGGCCGATTGTTGACGATCCTGGCAATGGTAACAACAACGGTGGTAGTGGCGGCACTCCGAAATGGGTCGCGCCCGTTCTAGGAGTTGTCTTAGGTCTCGTCTTTATCACTGGCATCTTGGTCGGTTTCTGCCTTTGGCGTCGTCGCAAGGTCCTCAGGCAGGGCAACGGGACTGCGACCGCCACTGACGACAACGGATCACGCATCATCTCCTGGATTAGAGGCCAGCCCAGTGAGCCTGCCAAAGCGCCGACCGTCACGACTGAAGAGACCCCGTCCACTCTGGATATGGCAGAGGTCCGCACGCCGCCTCCTGCTCCTGCAGTTTCTCCGGCACCGGTTATTGCCCATGAGATGGCCGATGACCACATTGCCGAACTTCCTGGCAAGTATCTTCCATCGACATCGCAACATCAGACTACTAACGAATTCCAGATACCTCACCTCGCGCAGAACTTCACGGCGTGGGCCTCACCCCGGTCGAAATCATCAATAAACACACCCACTTCGGCACGGGCAACGGCTCCAACCCCGGCACAACACATCAATCGTCCTATTACGCCTCCGTCTCCAGCAACGAGAACGCATCCTCCCTCTCGCGGTCGTCGGGCGTTCTCGGCTTCCAGACCCGTGCGCAGTCCCCCGAACCCGGGCCGCCTTCCCCGCCTGTCACCCACTCCACCCCAGCCGGTCGCCACGACTCCGATGTCTCGGGTCTGAGCGACAACGAGACTCGGCACCTGAGACACATCAGCCAGGCGACGGTCAGCTCGGCATCATCTGGTGGCGAGCAAGAGGTTTCCGGTGCGCAGCAGGGTGCTCGCGGAGTACCCGCGACGGTACCGGAGACGCCTACACCTGGTATCCCTGAGACACCGACACCGGGACATCCGAGCCCTCTTAGTCCACCAACAGGAGCTTCCGATGGCGAGGATTACATCTCGGCGAGGATGTTGCCGGTCAGTCCCGCTGGAACGGGCACGCTCAGGAGGAGTATGTTCCACGAGAGTGAGGATGATCTTGGGTCCAAGAAGTAAAGAATCCGAGGATGTTCTGGTGGCAATTTGCAAATGAGGATATGATGTTTAGATATTCGTAATTTATTTCCTAATTCCAATCTTGTTGGGTCATCGATGCTTCAGTCTCGTCACTGTGTGCGTCTTGTTTGGGAAACTTAGATCCTCTCTCTGTAGGCAAAGACTTCAGGCTAGGTTGGCGTATCACCCTGACCCTAGTATCGAAATAGCACATTATATCTTCCCCTTTCCTACCCATCCGAGCGCAATGCCCCCACCGAGTTTCTCAAGGTGTAGATAAACAGATAACCGCCGTATTGTAGTACCACAACCCCTACCATCAAATAGTCAAGACAGACCGGCACTATTTCCCAAGGGCAGACGTAAAGGTGGGTGAAGGGCGTCTCCCAAGAGGGCAAGAAGATTCCTATAGTCCCTGACAGACATGCAATTATAAGAGCGACGACCGTTGCGCGTCTGAATGCATGGCTTCGCACCCAAGCCTCCGTCTGCTCCAGCTCCATGCCCAGCAGAAGGACGAGGGCGGCCTGGATCGGCTGATACACAAAGAACCATGTCATCATCTTTACGAACGCCCGGAACACCACGTAGTCGTTGAACGCGTACACCATCAGCAAGAAGTTGAATCCGACGAACAGATGCACCGTTGCTCGAGACGATGGGGCATCCCAACATGCGGTGATGTGTACCAATCTGACCCACTCGATGGGCTCTTGTCGCGCGTCTAAGCCCTCTGGTTCTAAGGCCTGTGTTTCGAGAACGCCATCGGAGCGAGGTCTCGTAGCTCCACTGCGCCTGGTATCGGCGGCGTCTGCTGGTTCTTGACATGGATGGTAGGTCAGCAAAGCTGCCGACTCACGAGGCCTGGGGGAATGGAAGAAGAGGGGTCGGCACACGGAAAACGTACCCGGATTGAAGAACTGCTCAAATACTAGGCACAGTGGGCTTATGAATAGTACCACGGCGGCGACTTGCCCAAAGCTCCAGCTGTTCTCATCTTCAGGGCCTTGTGCTCGTATTAGTAGCAACTGTTTGAGGCCCCATGATGCCGTGATGATGACCCAAGCGGCCTTTGAAGAACTTAGCAGCAATCCACCTCGCATGAAGGCGGCGGAGGGTGTGATGAAGGAGGTAGTGATTACACACCTCGGCAAGAAACGAGCTGCATAGCTCAAAATACAAGCGTCCCAATATCCACGAGACAGCTAATGGACGAGCGATGAATAGCGTATATGCATGATGACCTAGCACTCGACGTAGGCCCAAGTCCTCCTCCCCCTTGACTATGACGGCCAACTTCGATCGCAGGTATGACCTATAAAACGAAGTCCAACGGGAGACTCCGCGGCTCATCTTCACCGTTCTGATGATCAAGCCGAAGACTAGCATGGACACAGAAAATATCGTGTCTGCGAGCATTGCTATGTCAGGGACGCTTCCGTTTGAGAGCTTCGACTCGTTGAATAAGCAAATTGCTCTATAGTCGGTGAGTTTAAGTCTGTCGGAAGCATCCATCTTCACCTTGATTGGAGTGTTGATGAACATGGCAACGCTCAGCATTGTAACGACGCAGAAGATTAACACCAGTCGCCATATGAGGCGTTCTGGGTGGTTTGCGTAGTAGGTTCGGAGGTGGGACAATGCTGCAAGGTGAGCCACGGATGAGAACCAGCTACGAATATTATGTATCAGCGTTGATGGTCCTGCAGTACTTTACTTGAACTAATTGTAGAGGGTATTTTTACGCAGTGTAAACAATTATCATCCAGTGATAAGCTGAAATCATGCGAGGCAGCTCGTGGTAGCCACTGATCAGGACAGCGAGTCCTGTGGCGATTTGGATGTCGCTCATCGCGAGTATACACTACCTCAACGTCAGAACTACATCAAAAGTATGGCATTTCGCTCTTTCCATATGTAGAGATGATCGGATAGCGAATGACTCCCATACGTTGTTGAACCCTCGCTCTATCGAGGCACCTTTTCTTTCATCCAAAAGCCAATTAAAGCTGACACCGAGGGTGGAAAGCGCCCATCTGACCCTTCGCAGAACTGCCACATCAATGGCGTTTGGTCTGTTCTGGCTCTTCAAGGCTTGATCTGGCTTCCGGAGCGGGTCAAGCCAAGGATCAAAGAAGAAAACATAGTAGATGATTAGAAGTAGAATCATCAGGCAACCAGTTCCGACGAATCCTATCGCTACCTGCTTGCTTAGTTAGTTTCATTCGAATGAGAAGAAAAGGCGAGGGATCCGCTCACACCTATCCCACTGACATCGGGATCGGACATGTCACTCGGGTCTGAGGGACCCTCGCAGTCGGCCATCATGTCAGCCTCTTGTCCGGAGCCTCTTGACTGATCGGAGAACAGTTGTTCACGTTAGAAATGTGCAGTTGGCAGGGATGGTCGGTGACAGGGGAAACATGCGGTGGTCGAGACTGCAAAGGATGATTACCGTGGCTCAACTGAGACAGGTTTGCAGAATTATCCCTGCCTGAATCAGCCGCACTACAATGCAGGCTGACGAGAAAGATGATTCGGAGGGGAGGAATGCTGCACAACCAGTCCAATGACAATTCGCGAGGATGAGTGAGACACGGACGCAAAAGGGTTTGCTATCTGAGCATGTAGTATTACTCGAAGCAAATATCCGATAAGTCTTTCTTGGCTGCTTCACTATTTTGCATCTTGGTGGCCTCGAAAAGGAAATTTGAAGTCAAAGAACCGAGATATCTCAGTGTCATGATAGCACACAACTAGAAGCTAGGTTGCACTGCCTTTAGCCTTGAGTAACTTCGGTCCTGGATTGGAAATTGCAGTTGGCAAGGTCAAGAATAAGGAATATTTCCGGAAGAGTCTTACTTTCTTTCTTTTGCTGATACTGGCAGCTAGTCGGGCGGGTATTTATCATGAATTAGGTCTAATTCTATAGTCTTCGTCATTGTCTCTACTGTCGTCGTTGTCTCTATCATCATCTATGATTACTACCCAGTCAAACGCTTCCCGGGATTCAGACCTAAGCTTCGCTTGAAATGTCGTTGTCATGCGTTAATAACTTCAAGGATTTCACTGATACATTTCTGTCTTTTACTTCCCAATTCAGGGTGAATTTCTGCATCGGCTTCTAGTAACTCTTGTGGGCCATGAATCCCAGAACAGTGACTATCAACGTCGCCGATGTGACGCAGAAACTCGCTACACTCCACCCGCCCGAGAAGTCTGACTCGACGAACCACCAAGTTAGAGCAAGCACAATGCTGACTATTATCAGCAGCACTGTTATGATGACCGAAATCGTCTTCCAGTGCCAATCTTCTTCGAAGTATATACCCCAACCGGTGACAGGCTTGTTGGCCTCACCAACGAGCTGACTGTCTTTTTTCATGGGGATGTAGCAAATGACAGACGTTTGCCTCGGATTAAGACATCCTGGATTTCTGAAATGATGGAGGAGATAGTTCTTCTCCATGAGAAGAGGTTCTGTCGGGGCCTGTGGGATGTAGCGGTATTCCGCAACTGCAGATGAAGTTGGCCAGCAGCCACAACAGAAGACCGAATCGGCGGGGCAAGCACTTGTATGCCTCTGAATGTTTTGAATAAAGTTGCTGTAGTCTACCCGTAACTTTGAATCGTTTCACGACTTAGCAAATTGGTATGCGGTGGGACAGTGGCTACATACCATACAATTACCAATCACAGAAACTGTTCTCAGGGACATTCGCGAAGCCAGCTTTCTTTCAGCGTGAAATCTGTGCCTGAGGAATTGGAAGAGGTCATTGTCGTTTTCCAAATCTGACGGCTCAACATCCGCATGACGCAAGACCTTAGCAGACCCTTCTCCTCCAGCTTGAAGACTGAACAGGATAAACAGGTTGTTCCTTCGTGTGCTCGAAATACCTTGCGGAGGTGTCGGAGCATGTGTCACTGTCAACTCATGCAGCGGAATGCCGGAACTTATCCTTTGTTTGTTTCTGAAAACATCCGCGACATTTGATAACAATGATGTTGTCCATTTGACGGCATGGGATACCGAGTCCATTGACAAATACCTTCTGCTTCCAGCTTTACCATTTTCCGATGCCTTTGGTCCAGATAGTACAGTTCTAAGCTTGTGTAGTTGCCCTTCTCGGAGATTGTTGTAATCGTCATAAAGCTTCTTGCCACATGTCTGGATTTTCACTTCGTTAGTAATGTTTTTGTGGCATGAGAATGGTGTCAGCTCTTACGCAGGTCCATCTAACACGAATTGCTCCAGGAGATATCGGTGGCTCCAAAAGAAAGTCAACCCAATGGGGGGTCCATCTGTCGATAATCTCAGGCAACGAGTGGCCTACTTCCCATACATCATGAGGATGTTTGTGACTACCTCCGATGCGCGCCTCATGAAGGTCGTCAGTTGTTTGAAGAGTCTTCGTTCGATCCTGCTCGTGGAAATCCTGTTGAGTGCTCTCCTGCGGGTTATCTTGCTCTTGATCAAGAACCTTCTCTTTTGCTGGTTGTTGAACCCTTTCCATTTCTGCCATAGGTAGCGTTCGGAGGTTTTCTATGAAGTCTTTCATGTGATCGCCTTTCATGATGAACTCTTCCATCTCTTTTTTCTTCCGAAGAAGAAGCTCTAGATCATCCTCTATGTCGATTTCGTCAGTATCACTGACGTCAGAGTCATCTTCCATGTCAATCTGGTCACGAACCAGCCCTGGAGTCCCTATGTGCGAGGCACGCATCCTTTGTAGCATGCTAAGCAGATGTTGTTCTTGCTCCTCCGCTGACATCGGCGGCTTATCTATATTGAGTCGAAGAGCTGCGAACTCTGGATCGTACTTTTTCCTCAGGGAGTAGGCGATATATTTGGAATCAGCTCTGACGCGTCTTGCACCGTATTCCTGCTCTGTTGTTGTGGCCTCACTTCGTAGGGTCTTTCCCATAAGTCGCAGAGCCCGGGCTGATATTCTTGTCATGGCCTCGGCCCCGATAGCTCCCTGTTGCAGGCCAAGCCTGAA